GTTTTGCTTTGTTTCACAGAACTAATCGTTGCCTGGGTTGCGTACGTATGTGTTGGGCAGAGCTATCAAAATAGGGGCGAGACCTTTTTGGGTAGGGGCGTGTTTGTTTTGGTGATTTCAAATGTCAACATTGGCTAACAGAAATCGCTTACCCCACCTTTAACTTTCAAAACCTTTTGTCTCAAGAGTTCCATGATATTACCATGGTCTAAACAACTCAGATAGATCTCAAAATTGTGGCTAATCATTTCAAAATTATGGCTAATCATCCATTCAGAAATGTATTTGTAATAAGAGTGTAGCCTACATGATGTGCACTGTTGTGGTGAGGATCTGACGCAAGCAGATATCTATGAGAGTTCAGCAGATTCCAGCTCTACAGGAGCAAAAGCGAATGTTACCATGCTGTCAGTGAGGAGACATCCGCTGAAACTGGTCCTCTACACAGACCGTCTGTGTCAGCGTTCCCAAACAAAAGTGATCTGATCCACAGCCGCTTGTCCAAGCACCAACCACACAGCCAGAGGAGACGGATATTCAGTTACAACAGTCCAGTTCACTCAGTCAACAACAGACACATCACTGCAACTACTAATTAGAAAGGGTTTCCGTTTCACTAACCCTCACTCTCAGGGTTATGGCAGAGACTTGAGACTATGGAACATACTACGGAGCTACATTTGAGTGACAGCACAGAAGACATCACCAATTCAACCACACTGTTTTGTCCTGCCTAAACTGACCAGTGTAACTTACATAAGAGTCCATACACTGCGTGCTATTATGGTAGTGGTACAGTAGTCATGGCCTGTGATCTCGGAGTTAAAATTAGACTCAATCATTAGCATTGCTCAGATAGACTGGTTTAGAGTTCAGCCTAAAGCTCCCACCAATATCTCAATATTCCTTTTCAAGTGTATTAAAGATATTAAACATGTTCACTACTTAGCAAATGTGTCAATAATATGACCAAAATAGATCATCTTTTGACACAGCTTCTTAAAAAGTACTACAGTTTGGACTGTAAATGAAATTATTGCGGTTTGGCAGTTAAAAACAATTAAAAGCATACACACACCACTGTTCAAATGTTTTGTAATTGTCAGTTATATTTTTAAAATGTTTTTTTAAAGAAATCTCTTATGCTCACCACGGCGGAGTTAAAATTAGAATCAATCATTAGCATTGATCAGATAGACTGGTTTAGAGTTCAGCCTAAAGCTCCCACCAATATCTCAATATTCCTTTTCAAGTGTATTAAAGATATTAAACATGTTCACTACTTAGCAAATGTGTCAATAATATGACCAAAATAGATCATCTTTTGACACAGCTTCTTAAAAAGTACTACAGTTTGGACTGTAAATGAAATTATTGCGGTTTGGCAGTTAAAAACAATTAAAAGCACACACACACCACTGTTCAAATGTCTTGTAATTGTCAGTTATATTTTTAAAATGTTTTTTTTTAAAGAAATCTCTTATGCTCACCACGGCTGCATTTATTTGATAAAAACAAAGCAATAACAGTAATATTGTGACATAATGTGATGATTTGGCTGATTTGATGCTCAAGAAATATTTCCTATTATGAACAATTTTGAAATACAGTTAATATTCAGTTAATATCTTTGTGATAACTATATATAACTATAACTATATATAACTATAGAAATAGAAAAGTTTTAAAGCATAGCATTTATTTGAAATGGAAATATTTTGTAACACTATGATCTAAACTATGATCTTGAAAAAAAAATCTTACTGACTCCAAAATTTTCAATGGGAGTGAATACATATTTATTTGTTTATTTATTTTTATGTCTGTCAGTTATTTTTAATACACAACACATGAAGCTGATTTACATTATATCGTTTTCTCCCATATTATATTTGCGAGGCCCAGGCAACCATAATGACAACGTCCAAATCTTGAGAAACAACCATATAATCATCAAAACAATATAATCGGCAATTCACAAGTAGCATTAGCTGAAATTCAATTCCTCATACCTGAACTTCCTCCCACAGTGTCTTACCATCCCTCATCTCTTAATAAGACTCAGTCCCACATACCTTCTCCAGTGAAAATGTGCCCCAAGAATTGGCAAGCCACAAGGCACTGGAAGAAGCTCTGACTTTAGCTGTGCTTTTGGTGGGGCTCTTTTTCACACTGTCCCTCAGGTTGGTGAACTTTCCTCTGCTCTTGGTGGAGACTGGGAGGGTGCAGGAGCTGTACTGCGGAACCCTTCGGGACTCCAGAGAAGTCTGCTGGAAGTTGGGAAGGGCGGGCTGAGAGAGGTGACGCGGCGGCTGCTGCTGCTGGTGCAGGTGATGGTGGAAATGGTGATGGAATTGCGGTTGTTGCACCAACTGTCTCGGCGTTCGGGTCAGCGTACTGTGCACGTGTCCGACTCTCTGTTCCATTCTGGGATGGCTGCAGTTGGCCACCTCTGCCACACCAGTCCGACAGTCCACATAAGCACCACAGCAGTATTCATGGTTGTTGCAATAGGTGGTGATTGTTTTCCAAGCAGAGGTGGAGGGCAGGTGAAATGATGGAGAATGCAGCCTGAAGAGTGATGCGCTTACTTTGCTGAGCAATCGGGAAGGAGAGAGGACACACCGTGGTTGTAAATCTCGTCTTTTTCCCCGGCTCCACTCTTCTGCCAACCTCTCTCACTGTCTATCTCTCTTTCTGCCTCACTCACTCTCATCCCCCCGCACTTGCTCGCCAATTAATGAGCTCCAATGGGCACTGCACATGACAGCACAGTCTCTTCTGCAGGCATGAATAATCAATGCTCCATTCTTGACGGAGCCCTGCTTTGACC